TGCCCTGAGCTCTTAGTGGCTTCCAAGGCCTGAGGCAAGATGGTAGAAATCGGTTGGCTTGGGAACTCAACAGTGTTCCTGCATGACCCAACACTCTTAACCACCTTCGGCCTCCATTTTTCCATCTGGAAAATAGGGACATCCCAGCACTCCCTCCACATAAGGCAAGTGCGGCTTAAGAAGCAGGAAGGTTAAGGGTTTAAACATTCAGCCAACTTGGCACATGTTGGGCGGCTGCCTCAGCCTGGCCTTGCTCTGGATACCACTAGAAGTCTGTAGATATAAATGATGGGTGATTCATTTTGTTTTTGGCATGAAACAGGAGAAAGAGCTTTTTGCCTTTGGAGCTGGATGGAGATGCACAGCTTTAGAGATCATTCTGGACAAGGCATCTGAACCTCCATTTGTTAATTTGTTTAAAAAAAAAAAAAAAAGAGGGCGCCTGGGTGGCTCAGTGGGTTAAGCCTCTGCCTTTGGCTCGGGTCATGATCTCAGGGTCCTGGGATCGAATCCCGCACCGGGCTCTCTGCTCGGCAGGGAGCCTGCTTCCTCCTCTCTCTCTCTGCCTGCCTCTCTGCCTACTTGTGATCTCTCTCTGTCAAATGAATAAATAAATTCTTCAAAAAAAAAAAAAGAGGTAGTAGGGAGCGCCACTTCTCAGAGTGAGGCGGAGTGTGGAAAGAGCTAAACCACATGGATATTTTCCCTGCTGTCCGTGGGGTCTCAGGGCTGGGAGGGAAAGGACACGGACACAGGCCATGTCCATGTAGTGTGAGGCTTGGGGCCCAGAGAGGATGTCGGGCGGAAGAGGAAGGAGCCCAGGAAAGCTTATTAGCTTGGGACCGTTTACTCCTCCCTCCAGAGAAACAGTTCTGCTTGACTCCCCTGTCCTTTTCCCTAGTTCCAAGAGGAATATTTGGCACTAACAAGGCAGTCCATACATGCTGAACAAACACAGGAATAATTGGCTTCCTAGACACGGTGGCCTTGGTGGGGAGGGCAGGGTATCAAGGGTTCCCTCGAAATATTTGTCCGCAGTGCTGGCCACAGTGGGGCCGCACGCAGACGTGGCGGTAGGGTTAAGAGAGAACCCAGGGGAAGGAGTAGCACTGGGGCTGCAGCGGGGAGGCCTTCCAACCCAGAGCCTGAGGGCAGTTACGTGGAACAGGAGAGAGAGAGAGCGCTGTGTACAGAGGGACACCTGCCAGGCACTGTGGCTGCTGAGGGGCAATGGATACCCTGACCACTGCCTCGCTCTTCTGCCTCCTGCTGTCCTGCCAGCATCTCCCACTGACCACAGACAGGGAACAGGGGCACGGGAGACTGTTGGTTCAGTCCATGGGCCCAGAGCAGAGGAGGCAATCCATCTGTAGGGCACTGGGAGAGTAATAGGCCCAGGGATGCAGAACTCCTGTCCAGAGCCAGAAGTCTCGGAGCCGAGAGGCCTGGGGTGTGCCTGGAGCAGGGGCCGCTTGTGCAGATCAGGAAGCTTGATGTGGGTGGCAGACAGCAAAGGGTCTTGCCTGCCTCACTGTGCTTTGGCCAGGAGTAGGCAATGGCCAGCCACAGGGAGGATGTTGGGTTTAAAACGAAGCTTATGATGGACGGTGCGGGACGGGCCGAAGGCAGGGACAGCCCTGGGGAGGCCACACAGAGATCCAGAGAACGGGGAGGGAGCCCCTGTCTGGCCTTCTAAACCCCACTGTCACTGCCAGTCTACTACCAGGGAATAGAGTGGAGAGTGACCATTTTGTGGCCAAGACAGGCAGAAGTCAGAGGCAGGGGTTGGGGGGACATTCAGAGCCCTGAGACCACACACACTTCTCTCCAGGCAAGTAGAAGTGACAAACCTGGCTCGGCGGCGGGGAGGCTAGAAGGAGGCTCACAGACCCTCCCTTGAGCCTGCAGAGTAGGGGCGCCTCCTACCCCTCAGGTCCCCTCCCCCCACACCGAGCGTCTCCTCCCCCTGCCCTCCCTGTTGGTGTGGTTAAGTCCCTCCAGAGAGCACAGGCCCTGGGCTGCGTCCTGCCCTCACAGGCCAAGTTCACCATGGCATCAGCATCTCCCAGGGAACAAATGTATCCTTTTCTTTGCCGGGGCGGCAGTGACTTCATCCCCAGCGGGCCATGTGAGTCACCGCACAGAGGGTGGAGGGCCGGCCAGCTCTCCGCTGAGCCTGGCCGTGGCCGCGTGGCTGGGGAGAGGGAAGAGCCATGGCTGGGGAGAGGGAAGAGCCGAGGGTGGGAACGCTTCCACACAGACCTACCTCACTTTCTCTTCCTGCTGTGGCTGCCTGTGTCCTACAGGGGCAAAAAGAGGGACGATATCCCCGGGCCAGGGGCTTTTGTCATGACCGCCACCGTGAGCTTCGCTGAAGGTCCTGCAGAAGGTGGCCCTCAGAGGCTGAATCCCGCACCCAGGGCCACCCGATTCTGTGAACCTGGTATCACTTTTTCCTCCCCGTGGCCAGGAGAGCAAGGATGCTTGTTCCCATTTTGCAGAGGAACAAACTGAGGCTCAGAGAGATGGGATGACTAGTGTTAGAGACAAGGGAGTCAGAGGTGAAGGAGTCCGCCCCCATTCTCAGGGACAAGCCACCATTGGTGGGAGCACCGGGAGCCCCAGTTTTCTCACCCATAAAATGGGATGGTGACAGCCACCCCCCCAACGCTGTTGAGAGGACATGATGAGAGCGGTTGCGAAGGGTGGCCGCACGTCCCCAGGCCACTGCCACACTCACACCACCGTGTGACAGTCTCTGTGCCATTGGCACCCCACAAAGTTGGGGAGCAGCATGGGGGACCTGTAACGGCTCGGGTGTGAGGTTGGACCGGGCTGCCAGCGGTGGGGGGAGGGGATGCCAGCACCTTCAAGAAGCAGATCTTCAAGGGCCACTGGTGGGGGAGTGTGGGAGATGGTTGAGGGTGTGCCCCCCACCCCAGGTGGACACACTAAACTCCTTCACACCCTCAAGCTCTTCCCTGAGGCTTTGCTAACCCTTCACGGGTGCCCCCCACCCCCTCGCCCATCAGGCCAAAGAAGCAGGCTTCTGAGAAGCAGATGATGCCCTGGCTGCTGGGGATAGCCGCACACATCCCTTCCCCGTGCCTTAGTTTCCCCATCTGTGAAGTCGGGGTGGGAAGCCCCAGTGTGCTGTTGTTGGAAGGGAGGGGCACATAGGAGGGTGCAGCCAAGGGGAAGAAGAGAGAGGCCTGGGACCCTCCAGAGGTTTTGGAGGCAGGCGTGTCTTCCAGGACAGGGAATTGGAAGTGTCCCCAACAGGGATCTTGGCCGCCTGTCCTGAAAATGACACCTCTCTCTGAGATCACGTGTTCTTGCTCTTTACCCTGTGGGGAGCCAGGTTCAGCCCAGGCCAGAGGGGAGTGAGTGAGGGGATGGATGGAAGGAAGAGGAGAGGATAGGTGGGTGGATGATTGGAAGGGAAGAGGGAAGGGACACGGGATCCGGGTATGGATATGTGAATGGAGGAGTGAGTCCTTGGATGCTGTGGATAGACATGAAGGAGACGTAGACACTGCCTCCACCCACAGAAGGTGTTAAGAAAACTTCCACCAGTAGGACAGACCAGATAAACTCTTGAATGGAAGTCCCACTCTGTACGGCCCAAGGAAGTGAGGCTCTGGATGGAAGAGCAGCCTTGAGAAGTAATGAGCTTCCCATCACTCGGGGGAGTTCAAGCCAGGGTTGGGCAGCCACCTCCCCAGGGTGCTGTGGAGGAGCTCCTATGACAGGTAGTGGGCCCCTATGGTGGCTTCTGATGATAAGGAGAGGAGAACTGGTGTTCCCGAGCCCCCCAGGGAGGTCACGGCCTTTGTAGAAGCCAATGCTGCTTTCAGAGAAAAAGTTCTTTCCTGGCTTGGGGGACGGACAAGCATGCAGCTGCTAATCCTCACTGTGGGAATCAGGCTGGAATTCTGGACATCCTGCCCAGGCCAGGGCAAGGGGCCCAAGGACAGAGCAAGGCTTTGACCCGTAGACCCAGGCTCGGGCCCAGCACCACCCTCCCTGACTGTGGGTAGGTGATGCCCCCTCTGAGCCTCAGTTTCCTTATAGGTGAAACGGGGGCCCTGATGGGCACAGGACAGAATGCCACTGGCAGCTGCCCGTAGCTATACAGCTCTATACCCAGGGCCTCGCAGAGTTTGAGGATATGGGCCCACCTGACCCTGGGGAACTTTCTGGGGGCTGTGGATGGGTAGAAGTAGGTTTGTGAGCACTGACCTTGAGCTGTGAGTCATTGTCTCTGGGGGCTCTGCCTGGGAAGCCCCAGCTGCCTGCCCTGGGCGGGCCCAGGAGCAGCTGGTGGGGGGTGGGGAGCAAAGGCGGGGGCTCCAGCTGGGACCCCAGTCTGGAAATGCCCCAGACCCCACTCAGGCCTAGCCCTCCTGCCACCCCTCCACCCAGAAATGCAGCTCCCAGAGCCAGACTGCCACAGCACAAAGCCTACCTCCCCTGTGTTCTAGGGCTGTGACTTTCCCCATCTGTGCCTCAGTTGCCTCACATATCAAACAGAGCCGATGATCAAAACTATTTCACAAATAAGACCATTGGGGGGACGGGATGTGTTCGTTCAGGCCCTGTGGAGAGCTTAGACCCGTGCCCAGGACTCCATGAGCCCAAAGTGGTCAGGGAAAATTAAGGTCTGTGGGGGGCCAGCCACACACATTGTCTGTCACACAGCAAGGAAGTGACCTGGCCAGGTCTGGGAACTGTGTTTCTCCCAGCAAATGGAGACCCTCATGGGCCAGCTAGTCTCCCAGGAAGCCGGCGTGACTTTGTTTTTCTTTTGTCTCCTGGTTACCCCCAGGAGCCAAGCCACCAGAGCAGCCCCTTTCCCTATCCTGGCCAGTGCCTGGCCTGCCACTTGCGGTGGGCCGGGCTGTGGGCGGGTGTTGGGTTTAGGCCTCTGGGGAGATGGGGAGGATGTGGGCCCCGCCCTCGCCTCCCCGCCCACCTCCCTCCCTCTTGGGCTCAGCCTCTCCCGTCCCAGGCCAGCCTCTGGACACAGGACCAGCACTTTCCCTCACCGGGCAGACGCCCCTCACCCGCCCCGAGTGACTCACTGTTCCCCTGGCCCACAGCCACCGCTGTCTCTTGGCAGGAGGCAGGCGCAAGGTTGTGCCGAAGCCACGGGGTCTGGTGCGAGAGGGCCACTCGGCCACTTGGCCAGGAGGAGGGTCTGCAAGCAGCCGGACAGGCCAGCGCACAGAGGCTGGCCTAGGGACAGCAAGGCCAGTGGCTGGGACTTACAGTGGCCTGGGGGAGCCAGCACCTCCCTCTCCACCCTGGCTTTTAGCCTTGTCTTTCTTCTTCCCACCATGAAGAAGGAAGTGACCTGAGAGCCAGCAAAGACAGCCAGCCCCCGACAGGGAGGAGACCAGGGTCAGAGGGCCGCGGCCGTGGGTCCCTCAGCTGCTGGCTCTCCCAACTAGCCAGGCATGAAGGGTGGTGGCAGCGCCGTTTGGAACCTTATGTGGAAGTACTGCATCTCCGTGAGGACCCTCAGGTACCTGGAGACACACATGAGCGCGCGTGTGTGTGTGTCTGTGTGTCTGTGTGTGTCTGTCTGTCTGTGTGCACGCGCGCATGTGCACGCGTGTACGCGGCTCTACCCAGCCATCACCTGCTGGGAGGGGAGGCTGGGTACCGGGCTGGCCGGTTCGCTCGGGACTCTGAGAGCTCGGGGATAACTCCAGCTTGGAGGAAGCGGGGATGGAAGGCAGGAAAGCTCATGCCTGGTTCCCTCCGGAGAAACTCAGAGTCTCTAATGGGGAGGGAGGGAGACGGGAGTGTGGAACAGTAGTGGGGAGCATGTGTGCATTTGGCTGGGACCCGACGTGGCCACTGGAGGATGCCAGGGGCAGGTAGGGTATGGCTGGCGGACTCCCCAGCGAGCATGGGAACAGGCATTTGTTACATAACGCACAGGCACTGGGCACAGCCGAGTGACCTTGGCTCTGTCCCCTGGCCTCTCTGAGCCTGTTACCCATCAGTAAAATGGGGCTCCCACTCGTTCCTTCAGTGTGCGGCATGGGGCGATCTCGTGCGACTGTCCGGGGCAGTTGTGGAGTGGCTGAGAACTCAGCCTGGACGCAGCCACCAGGCCGCCCAAATTTAAAACTGGCCTTGGCGTTATCAGCAGCTCGAAGTGGCCTCATTTCTGTGGCCAAAGCTTCCCACCTGCAGATCCTTACGGGATTAGTGGAGGCTTAAAGGAGGTGGTGTACAAAGAACAGAGCCTGGCCGGAGGCCCATGCTGGGTAAGTCTCAGGTGTGATTACTGCTGCTCTTGTTCTTGTCCCTCCCCTTTGGCCAGCTGGACGGTCGGGAAGCTGTGCCTGGCCCAGAGCCGCTGTGCACGCCAGCCCCCGCACCTGCTGAAGGCATTCAGAAGGAGGAGTGGGGAGCTGGACCCTGTGCTGGACCCTGTGCAATCATGAGCAAGGCTGGGTCTTGTCTGGAGACCGGGGTGGGGGGGGGGGTGTTGGGTGGGGTTGCAGCTCATGTGGGAGGGGCTTAGAGGCAGCTGCTTGGAAGGGCTCAGAAGACATCTTACTTAGATATCACCGAAGGGCCTCTTTGTCACTTTAAGGGGAGGTTTTACAAAGGGTAAGGGATTGGGAGATGCTCTTTCTTCCCACCCTCATCACATAGTTTACAAACTATGTAAGCTTTCCCTCCTTTTTTCCTCCTTTCCTTTACAAAATATTGTGACCGCTTATAGGCGATACCTACGATAAATGAAATAAATCGGGCGCCTGGGTGGCTCAGTCGGTTAAGTGTCTGCCATGCTCCAGTCATGATCCCAGGGTCCTTGGATCGAGCCCCATGTTGGGCTCCCTGCTCAGCAGGGAGTCTGTTTCTCCCTCTCCCTCCCCCCGACTTGTGCGCACTTGCTCTCTCTCCCTCATCCACTCTCTCTCTCAAATAAACAAATTTTTAAAAAATCAAATAAAACATCGGGACCAGGATAAGCACAATATGGAACAGAATGTCATAACCTAGGAGGGAAAAATAGAATGGGACAAAGCTAAGCAGGGTCCTGAGGTCCTTCTGTGGTGGTAAAAATTGCTGAGTTTCCTGGCAGCCAGAGTGAAAGGGGAAACCCAGCCCCTGAGCCACGCTCACCGTGCTAGGAAACCATTATTACAGTGGTCACAGTTGTCTTCACTGCTGGGTGAGAGGGTCTGGGACCCTGGACCTCTGGGCCTGGATAGATGGGTGGGTGAAGGTTGGGAGGCATGGCAGGGATAGGCCTTCGGTCTTACTTTAGGAAAAGAGGACAGAGAATGAAGGCGGAGGCATTCTCTTGAACGTGGATGTGGCTGGCTGTGGGAATAGAGAGGGGAAAGCTCACCCCAGGACTGAGTCAGTGGCCACCTGTCCCTCTTTAGACCCTGGGAGAGACCTCCTTGGGTTGGCACCTCGGCCAGGCAGGCCAAGGCAGGGGGTGAGTCTCCCAGCTACAGTGAGTGTGTTACGTGCCTTTCCCTCCAACCTCAGCTGGATTTCCCTGTGTCTCATTCCCTCCTGCGGTTTCCGGGGATTGGCACTATGGAAACCTCAAGGGTTGTTTACAGGACGCAGGGGGCCCAGTCCTGGGAGGCCCTGCCATGCTCTGCCAGAAGCTCGCCCAGCCCAAGGAGGAGTAGCACAGCCTCACAGGACCTGATAGACCAGCCGCTCCGCTGCTGAGTTCCCTGGTCTACAGAGCAGGGATAATGGCACAGGGGATAATGATCCATCAGGGCTATGGGATAGAGCCTTGCATGGCTCATGGTAACGCTCCAAGAGTGTTTTGTTGGCCCGGTAAACCGTCAGCGGTGATGGGCAGGCCTGCATTGCAGAACCGATAGGAACACTTGTGGGGTGGTCGCCTAACACTCAAAGACACCACCAGGTGGGTGTGGAGCCCATAATTGGCACTGGGTTAGCCCCAGACCCCCACTTAGCACCTTTAACTACAGGGCACCTCCATGCTTGGCTGGGAAAGATGGTGCTTAGGGGGCCCTGGGAGACTTGCTCTGCTCTCTGGACCCACACCCCCTGTGTTGGGAGGCCACCAAGAGGGCTGAGCTGACTCCCCGAGTCATGCAGACAGAGGGATGGACAGAGCTGGCCCTCGGTGGGATCTCAGCTCCCCCGCCCCACACCCACCAGGAGCCAGGGAAGACCTGAGTCAGCAGGTCTGCAACCTGAGGCGGGGCGCACGGCAGCCACAGTGACAAATTGGAGGGTTGCAGTCGGACAGCACATAGTTTTCTGCTTGCGTCTTCAGACTCCCCTCCGCCTGAGTCTGTCACCCCTGGCCCAGACCCGCCGACATCTGGAAAAGCAAGAGGTGTGTGTGGGGAGCAGGCTACTGGCCGGCCAGCCCTGGCCCTTTGCCTAGGGGTTCAGTGACTGCAGCCCAGAAGCTGGGGACGCGACACCTGGGAACTGCGCACGGGAGCCCAAAGCCAACGACGGTAAGTTCTATGATGTGCATTCGGGGACGAGTTGCTAAACCCCTCTGGGCCTGCTTCCTCGGGTAACGTGCCAGCTAGGAGGTTCTTGGGAAGATCATGAATGGGTTCTGTTGGCCGGCACCCAGTGGAACACCTCCCTGCCAAGCCTGCCCCCTTCTTCCCGCTGAGTCTCAGCATCACAGGGCTGGAGTAGGGAGAACGCCAGCTCGGCAGCCAGCCCTGCCCAAGTTCGAACCCCAGTCCAGCCTCTTTCTACTGGGTGTCTTCCAGGGCTGTTGTAAGATTATCGGAGTCGAGGCCATGGACCTGCCCGGGCAGGCTAGGTGCCACACAGTGGCTCTGTCTCTAAGCAGACACCTCCAAGCTCCTGTCTGTCACAGGCCTCAGTCCGTGGTATCGGTCCGTGGTATCCGTAATCCTCAGCCAGGCTGGAAAATCACTTTTGCATCTGGTTGTTATTTTGGGAGCGACAGATCGTTTTGTGCCACGGGGGCCAGTGGGGCATTTGAACTGCCTGGTGGGCAGAGGCAGCCCGCTTGGGGTACTGATGGGGGTGGGGCAGGGGGTTTGCTGAGCCAGCCCCACCCCCCACCCCACCCCTGCTGTGGTGCATCTAGGGAGGAGGGCTGGGGAGCAGCTGGCAGCCAGGCTCTGGGAGCTTCCAGGGTGCTTCCTGGACAATTAGCCATCTGATGCCCTCTGCGGGAGGCCGTGTGCACACACCTCCTGGGACAGGGAGCTCTCACCCCCGCCTCCCAGCCTGGGGAGCTCTGATGCAAGGAAATTCTTTCCCACTTGGAGCTGACACCCCTGTTCCTATGATGTGCCCCCCCCACCAACACACACATAAATGAACACTGCCCTCCCCCACCCGCCCCGGCTCTGCTCTCCCAGCCCCCAGCCCATCTGCTTCCCTGTCCCAGCAGAGCCTGTAGTGGCCAGGATTCCCTGAGGCTGAGGATGGAGTGTTTAGTCCCCTCCCCACGTCCTTCCCCTTCTGGACAGGCCCCGGCTATCTCTGTCCCTCTCTGGGTAGGGTTAGAGCTGTGTATGGGTTGGGAGGGGAGCTCCTAGGCAGGGCTCAGCCAGTTGTCACCACCCCTTGCCTAGGCATGGCCCAAAGCACACACAGATTCTTTTGGTGTCTGCTTTACTCTTTCATACGTGGGACTTATGGCCTCAGCTCCTAGGCCTGCTTTCCCCGCCCCCTCCTGCTTGTCCCCCACCCCCCACCCCTCCCCATGCTGCTCTATTGCCCATCACCCCCATCCAGTCTCTGTGCAGGGTTGAAGCCTTCCTCTGGCCCTGGCACTGTGCCAGGTGCTTGGTGTCCAGCCTCACATCTAGCCAGCTAATGTCCACTGTGGGAGGGCCACCATCCCACTGCACAGAGGAGGAGCCTGGGGCTCGAGGGCCTCAAGTTATTGGTCCCCAAGCTGGGTCACAGCTGAGGCCTTTCTTGGTGAGGGCAGCAGGGTTCCCCTGAGCTGGGCAGGGAGATCGCATGGGCATCTCGCTGGAAAAGTTTCGTTTGGTTGGCCAGAAAATATTTGCTGGGCCCCTGCTCTGCATCAGACCCGTGCCTGACCCTGGGGATGTGGCAAGGAGTAAGGCAAAGGGCCCAGGCCCCATGGAGCCCACAGTTCGGGGGAAGAGAAGCAGTAAAGCAAGCAAATAGACAGAGGGGACAGGGATTACAGGAAAGAAGATTAAATGGGGAGGGTGGATTGAGCGACTGGGGCCGAGATGGCCTGTGACCTGGGTGGTCGGGAAAGGCCTCTCCCAGCTGCCCACTGGCCTCAGAGCACACAAACTGAGTCTGTCCACACAGTGGAATGCTACACAGCCACGAAAAGGAATGGGGTGCTGCTGTGTGGTCCTGGCATGAAGCCCCCTCGGGAACAGTGCACTGAGTGAGAGAAGCCGGCCACAAAAGACCACTGAGAGTGAGCAAGCCTACACGGACAGGAAGTAGAGTAGTGACTGCCAGGGGAATAGGAGCTGCGGGGGGCACGAGAAGGGCTGCTTAATGCAAACG